GCTCGAGCACGGAAGACGCGTGTTCCCCTGCGCGGGACACTCCTAGAAAGCCGGAAGGGATCAAGAAGGGCAAAGGCAGGGGAGGATCGCCTTTGCCCGGAGGGCACGGAGACCCCCCTTCCTTCCCTCGCCGGGCCGGGCCGAGTACCCGGGGCGGGATCTGAAGGGCGCGGAGCCCCATCCTGCCCAGTCCACTCGGAGGAACGGGTCAGGGATGAGGGGCTCCTTGGGGAGCGAGGGACTCCTCGAAACCGAAGGCGCCCGTCCCGTCCGACCCCCTCCCCTTCCCACGAGGTGTAAGGGGCGAAGGTAGCACAAAGCCAGCCCCGGGCAGACGGGGCCCCGGGGGCGGGCGAAGGAAAGCGCACCTGCTGGTAGTCTTCATCCTTGGGACGGAAGGCGCTGGACACGGGCTGCAGGCTCAGACTCAGGTGCGGCAGCCCGTGCAGCCAGGACGCCCACCAGGGCGCAAGGTAGTCGGCCCTCGCCGCCGGCAGCATCGCTCCGCTTTTCCCAGGCTTGCCGCCGTGGCCCCGCCGACCTCCGCCCCCTCCTCCTCCAGTAGAGCCGAGCTGAGCTCGCTCGCCCGCCGTCCAGCCCTCCCTCGCTGCCTCCGCTGCCCGCTCTGCACGCTGCCCGGGGCCCGGCCCTCCTTCGCCGGCGCCTGCCTGAGCTCACCCCGCAGGCCCCGCCCCTTCTTTTCTTTGCGAGGAAGGTTTTGGGTGGGTGGGTGGAGATGGAGGGGGGCGGCGAGGGCGCGAACCCATCCTCTCTTGCGGGAAATGGCGCCCCCTGCAGGATCACACCGGCCCTCGACCGAGTTGGTCGTGAGCGGAGGTCGGTGGAGGTTTTGTCAAGGGTGGGTTGCGGGGGAGGGGCTCCTAATCAATCCAATTAAGAAGGACGCCATTCTTCTCTGCCTGCACAGCTCCAGAGGGGGAAGGGTTCCCAAGATGCGAAACACTACACAAAATGTACCTTAGTACTGGCTTTGTTGCTTCTTGGACGCCAGGCAAAACTTTTTGTGACAAAACCGATTTTGATGGTGGTTGTTGGTTTTTTTCGGGTTCAAAAACCCACAACAGCCATCAGATCGCGGCTGTGAAAGCCTTCGAGAATACACAAAAAACTATTTTGTTAAAAAAACAACCACCCAGATTTAATTATTATAAAATCTACTGTGAGTTTTTTGGGCACTCCTCGATGATTCAGATAGCTAATTCTTGTTACAATTTTTTTGAAGTCACCTTGAAATTGTTGTTTTTAAAAATAAATTCTTTGAAAATTCTGCTTTTCCAGATATTTTTTAAAAATTGACTCCTGCTTCAGTGCACCCTGCTCCTTGCCTCTCAGAGTCACCCACACAACTTAAGGGAGGGGGGGCAATGGGCCTCAGAGGAGACACATTTTAGACGAAGGGCAGTCCAAGGAAGAAGAATCAGGAGTGAAGAAGGAACATGAGAAAATGCAGGTTTGTTCATTTCAGGGTTGGATGAGGCCTGAGTGAAGCAAAGCATTTTGGACTGCAGCTCCTGTCAGCGCCATGCACCACACTCAACGATGAGGGATTGTAAGTGTCATAGTCCAAAACTGCATCTCCCCAAAAGATACCTTGTATGGTGCAGTGGATAGAAGGATGGAGTAGGGCTCAGAAGGCCTGGGTTCAAATCCCTGCTTAACTATGAAAGTTTATTGGGGTGTGTGGAACTGGTGAAACCCTCCCTTAAATATCTCACCTTGAAAGACCTATTGGGGTTGGTATAAGTCAGTTCCAACTTGAGGTTGACATCAAATCCAAAACTGTAGAACAACACCAAACGGCCTGCCCCTGAGGCTTCCCGTTGCACTCCATTTCATCTCTGCTAATTCAACTGAAGAAGGGAGAGGAAGTGCAAAGAATTTGCTGTGTTGTAAAAGTGACTAGTGCTGCATGCCACTCACTCAGGCCTAGTTTGTGAATATCTGCATGAGTAGAGGTTGGGAGGGGGGTGGAGATAGTAGACTACAGTAGGACATGACTCATGAACCCCAATGGTTGTGATGAAACAATGTCTCCCATCCCACTTCCTCCAAGCTCTGATAATCAGCAGAAAGGATGGATGAAGAAATCAAGTAGACGCAATTTCAGCTTTTGTATAGGGAAGGAGGGAGTGACTCATTTAGCTTCTTTGGGCCCATTTTTTCTCTCTGCCGGAATTCTCTTTCCGGCATCTGGAGGCCACAGCTGCGAAAGCGAGAAAGCAGAGCCTACAGTGAAGCGATCTGTCCAGCACCTCTTACGTAAGTACAGCCCTTTCGGCCATATAGGACTCACCTAATGAGTTCAGCTCCGCAGCTCCTAAGATTCCCCCTGGGAGTCAGAAAGACATTTTATGAATGGACATTTTTATCCATCTGGATTTATCAAATTGACAGGTCCCCTAGCAAATCAATGGGGAAAACAAGTGAAGGAAATCAAAGCTGACCTGCTGGTCAATTGGGAGGCGAACTAACTTGTTTATTCTCTGTGCAGCTCCAACAGATATTCTGAAAAAGAGGAATATATTTTCTCTTTGCCTCTTTAAGGACATGGCAGCCCTCAGAATAGTTTCCTGAGTTGCTCTTCCAACTAACTGTAGGACAGCTTTATTAATCTGCGGCAGCAAAAACAACACAGAGCATAACTGAAGATTTAGAGTTTATTATGGTACACACTGTTTCAGGTCACAGCTCTAGACATCCGATAAATACTTAGCCTCAGTAAACAGAGAGTCAAAAGAACAGGAAGAAACAGAGTGGTGGTGGTGTGTTATTAATACGTGTGATACGAGACAGCCCAGCAGCATGAAACAGAGGCGTGTGCTACATATTAGACAAAACACAAATGAGTAGAAAGAAGATCTAGTTAAAATTTGGAAAGATTCAATTGCAATGTGTGTGACCCAGTAACAAAGAGGCCTCTGTTGCCAAGCTGGGAGATGCCTTCTGTATTATTTACTCATGCATAGATCTACCAACATCCAAACTTTTGACTTTCATCTGGACATGAGGGAATTTAGACTGACAGTATATTGTGGCTGGGGGTGGGGTGGGTAGATCTGAATTGGCTCACTTTGACAAATCAGATTGCTTATAAGATGAGCACCCAACCTATGGGTGAAACTGTGTTCAAGTAAAGCTTTGTAATTAACAGCAGAACTCTAAGTCAGAATTTTTTTAAGATAAAGGACGAAGAAAAAAAATTCACAGAAGGAAATAAGCTGTAATTTCTAGCTAAATGTTATCTGATACATTCCAACAATTTATACCACCTTTCCTTAAAATGGCATCCTCCAGATGTGGTGGACTACTACTTCTGTCCTCCACAATCAGCATGCCCATTTGCCATGGCGGTTGTTGATCATGGGCACGGTCGGTATTTGACTTAGATTGTGCAGAGCATCCTGACTGTGATAAGAAGCTCAAGATCTCTTCTCCAGGGGAAGACTTAGAGATCCTTCTGAGAAACAGAGATAAGCTGCTCTTCCTGACATGTTTTATTGTATTATTCCAGGAAGAGCTATGAATGACAGTGGTAGGAGGAAGCATCCAATCAAATAGGTTCTGGGGCGTGTGAGGTCTTTGTTCACTTCAGGAGATGAAAGCATAGCAATTTGCAATTAATGATATCAGCCAAAGGAAGAAATTAGCATCTCCTGTGACTACCCACATGAAGGACTTCCATATTGTATGCTAGAGGTACTCAACAGGAGAAAGTAAAGCCAAATGGCAGCTGCAGTGTTGCATATCCAGGAGAAATAAAACGTAGAACTGGAAATTCCTTCCAGCTGGCCAGAGGAGTGATACAGGGAATTGTTTTGTCTTGAGATATGTTTTGCAGACCTTAGCTTTATATGTACATAGATTCTTGATAAGAATTAAAGGAGTGATTTCACTTTTCTGCAAAATATCTGTATCTGTGTCTATGTTTGCATCTATACAGAGAGAGAAGAGAGAGCTAAAAACATGTCTTTTCAGGAATTCACTGCTGCAAAAGAAAAATGTGTGCTACCTAGTTTACCTGCACTTTTATATTCCATAAGTACTGTATATGTTCATGCATTCTATACTGTATATTGCACTTTATATTCTTGAGCAGGAATCATCATCATCCATATATGCTAAAATTACAAATACTGTATGTAATTCATTCAAGAATCTAGAGAATGACTCTTGTTACATTACTGCTACCTCCATATTCTACGTAGGGAGTTGAAGCTGAGATAGTGATTAACCTATGAAGCTCAAGCCTTAGATTGTTTATACATGCCTAAATATTTGTTTGTACATGCTTATATTTATGTATTTGCTCTCTGCATCCTGCCTCTGCTGCCTGGATAGCTCAGTAAGTTGAAGTTCAATTCTTCACTATGCCTTCTCATGAGAAAAGCCAGCCTGTGTAGCCTTGGGCAAATCACACAGTTCCAGAGTGCCACCAGAAAAGGGTACTGGAAATACACTCTGAGTATACCTTACAAAACCTGGAAAGGGTTCCTGTATGTCAGAAGCAACTTCACAGCACATCCGTCTCCTCTTCGTCCTCCTTGTTTCACCATAATTCAGAAATGACTTGATGGCACATGGTTATTACTATTAATTAAATCAGGGCAGCAATGATTTCTCTCTCCCCCCCCCCAAACTTTATCATCCCACCAAGCCTAAGCGCATGCATGCAGTCGGTATAGAGCTGCCAGTGAATGAGAGGGAGAAACGAATGGGCAAGGGAAGCAGAGATTCAGGGAAACTTGCATGCCACTACCACTCTTCTCACTGAGGATGCTTGTTTTAAAATATGGGTTCAGTATTCACTTTAATCCCCCAATGCGACCCCCATTGCTATGCCCTTAGTGTTATCGATGTGCCATTAGTCATTCTGGAGATCATCATACAAGTTTTGAAAGACCCTTTTCTGGCCATATTCTCTTTCCATTCTTCTTAAGGAGCCCCTTCCCTTAAAACTTTAATTTGTTCTTCTAAACCTGCTACAGATGAGAGGGGGAAAGCTGCAGAAAAGCCCATAAGAAATAATCTTCTACTCCTGAAGCTGCCAGTCACATCCCACATGCACAAACACGCTTCAGGGGGATTTCTTGGTTCATGGCTCTGCCTGTTAGCTATTAGGCTTCACTAGCTCAGAACTCGACTCTACACTTTCCATTTAAATTCTCAAGGGAAAATATTTGTGACTGTAAACATTATTGGCTGTCAACAGCACGTAACCCATCTCCTCACATGTACTGAATGCCTAGTGATCCGTATTTTCTGGTCAGGCGTCCTGGCAGAATTAAACAATGCCACTGGATGTCTCCTGAACTTGATTTTTCCACTGATATTGAGAAGAAATTCTCTGATTGTTAATTTCTTCTTTGCATGCTAACTGCAGCAGAAGCACTTATAGCATGTATTCATTGATAAGCAGTGAACCCTTGCCACAAGGTTCTGGGTGTGATCCAATAAACATTGACCTGTGAGTAAGCTAATCAAATTTATTGGGACCTTCTTCTCCTTTTCTGCAGAGGTGTCCAAAATTGTGTTGTTGTTGTGTGCCATCACAACGCCTCCAACTTATGGCAGCCTTTTGAATGAGTGCCATCCAAAACATCCTCTTCTCAACAGCCTTGCTCAGCTCTTGCAAATGCAAGGCTGTGGTTTCTTTTATGGAGGAGTCAATCCATTTCATA